AAAGATGGGATTAGGCCAGAGGGAAAACTGCAAGATAGCAGCCCATTTGCAGAAGGCTTGCATGAGACAGAGCAGAACAGCAAGAATGATGCATGTCACCACTGAGCTACTCAGGCAGAGCTGTGTGTGAGATGCTCATGCAATAAACAGTTAACTCTGTTTTTCTTCCATAGAATTCACCACCATAAGGGCAGAAAAAATTCCAAATAAAATCTGACAGAATACTTTGAAATATTGCTTCTCTAGAGAATACACCTTCCAACCACGCTGTTGCCTGCCATGCAGTCCTTCAGTTGGCAAACTGCTGTCAGCACTGTGAGACACCTGTAAGGTAAATTCTGGCACGGAGTTAATAGTGCTTTTTACGCTGTTCACCTTGATGCACTGCACTTTTTCCTGGGAAGGCCAACGCTTAAAGCAACGAGGCCACCGGGCTTTCTCAGGCCAGCAGGTTGGAATCTCCACAGCAGGGACCAGCTCCACCTCGACCTGGGATTCTGACGTCTCCACAGCCACCCGGACCACTGAGCTGAAGCTCTCCAGCACTGTCACTTTACCTGTGAAGGAACAGCAAGAGAAGATCATAAAGAGGAGAAGGTCCTTTTCCACAAGCCAAGCAAAGAGCTGTCTAGGGCCGTCGAGTTCTATTGTTGTGGCCTAACACTTTCTCTTCAGTGCCATAAGCAGAATACAAGAAAAAACTTATTGTCTTAACCTACCCTGGGGAATGAGGACAGGAAGAAGAAGAAGGAACAACTAAGGTCTCAATTTTTATACTCAATTACCTTGCTTTTGTTTTCCTCTGTAGGTCCTCTTAAATCCTAGGACCAGCTTCTTAAAAATACTGATAGACAACTGGTGCAACCTAACGTTTCTAATGGTACAGAAAAAGGAGATCACTGCAGATTAGAGGGGACCAGATCATGAACACTTCATATCTAAAGATCTCCTTATTCCTTCAGAGAACCTGTGATCAGACCAAATGACTTCCCCTTGCCAGTCATTCAGAATGTTTTGTGGTGTATCTGTAAGTTCTGTTTCTGGAGATGCACTTGCACGGAGGACAATGCCAGAATTTATGGCCTGTTGTGCAGAGCAGTCATACAAAAAGGGCTAACTGCTTGCCACACTGGGACTGCTGAGTGTCAAAAAGAATTAGTTCTGTGGTGATTTGGAAGAAAGAAGTTTCCTCAGTGAAAGAAGAGTGGCTCATCTCCAGGAACAACATGCTCTAAGAGAGCAGAAAGGAATGAAAGCTGCAACTAATGGACTTAGCGAGATGTTTCCTGTTGGCCTAGCTGCATTCATGGAAGAAGTTTCTGTCTCCAGCTTTCCCTGTCACTCTGGCAGGATCACTGTCCCTTCAACTTTGCCAGCTGAGTCAATTGCGTGATCATGCTCTAACCCACTGAAGTAAAAGACAGAGCAGATTACCATAAGCAGGTTAAGTACTAGTGTGCTAATGCACCTCATTTTGATTGGCATGGGCTAAGGAGCAATTCCACAAGGACCCCACACACCGACTTGAAGGGACAGTGATGAACATCATTGACTCTCACAAAGCAAATATCTGCCTACTCCCAATGGTAATTTAGCATCTCCTCCAGGAAGTGCAGGGGTGAATTACCTTGCAAATAGTGGAATCCATCCCAACCAGAACTTAACCCTGAGTTATAAAATCTGCCTGTAAGTTCCCTAACTAGCCTGGCACCAAAACAGGAACTGTACCGCTCCCAAGCCCTCAGCAGGGATCCCTAGCAGCTGAAAAGCATTAGAGCAACCGTTGTGTCAGCATGTAAATATATTCACAGCATTTCCAAAAGCATCACAATTATGCTACCTGTTTTTCCACTAATGAAAAGTGAGACACGTCAAAAACTCTGGTTTTGCTGGTGCTAAAAGAATTAAAAAATAGGGAAGCAATGAAACCAGGGAAATTTTGCTGCAACTTTAATTGTACTGTGGGATGAAGGAAGTTCATTCTTCTCAGAAATTAACAAAAATGTCCTCCTGACTTCATCTTAGCTCATCTCCTCTGTGTCAGTCTCCTCCCGGCTGACCTTACAAAAAGGCATCAGCCCAAACATCACTTCCTGGGTCCCTTGGAAATACCTCTCCTGGCTCAACAACTTGATGTACTGCTGCTAGACACAATGGCAGGTTTTCACAATGACTTTCACATAAGTAAACCCTCAGATGCAAGCCCATTCCATCTGGTCTTTTCTGTGAGCCTCAATGGTGAAATTTCGATCCCATCAACCTTTCCATTTCTATGATAACAAATATTTCCTGGAAGAATGCAATGATCTAGTGAGGTTGACTTTAACATGTTTTCTCCTGTGACTAAAATTCAGAGTGCAATCAGATGAGTGGAAATAGCTCCTGTTTCTCTGGAATACGGAAGACCCATATCAGGCTGCTGAAGAGTAAAGTCATCCTGGAAACTTGCTATGAGAAGAGGCACCACAGTCTGCATTCGATCATGTCACAGTATCTTAATGCGAAAAAATGGACATAGACTATTTAGCTTGGACCAAGCCAAGAGTTCAGTAGCTGAAGGCTATAACACGCCTCTAGGAATTAAGCATGAGGATCACTGTTCAGACAGCATCTTGCTACAGTTGTTACAGCTATGAAGGCATGTTGCATGCACCACTGGTTGCGTTACATCAGTAATCAGCCCTTCCAGTATAAATAGCCACAGGAAATAAACAGACACTTCGAATTGCTCACAGAGGGACCAGCAAACTTCCTGAGTCTAGTTCTGCTGAACAGGACTGGAGCAGCCTGGACACTGGGGAAAAGAGCTCTTGTCCAGCAGACTTTGCTTAAGTAGAAGTCCTACTTAGTTCCCCCCACCCCATGCTGGAAAGCTATGGGCAGCTGATGTTTCCTCAGAGCATTATCTGCCCTATACACATCTTCAAGCACTTTCTTCCCTGACTTATGCAGCTACCCTGTAGCCAATTTTCCTATACTATCTTCCTTGATAGTCTAGATATATTGCAGGTGCTGTGGTAGAAAAAGATTTTTCCCAAACAAATCCCTAAACGTTCTGAAAATCTGAGTTACATCTTGGTTGAACTGTAAGGGTGGTGTTGCTGAAGACACTAGACAAATTCCTAAGAAAGGAGCAACATCTTGGGTATGAAGAGCCCAAAGACTACTTAATTCTATCTTCAATGCAGGTCCACATGCATCACTGCAATGGGCTAAAGGCTCCCTGATTTTGAAGGGGTTTGTTGTTTTTTTAACTTCTGATCATGTGAGTCAAACAAACACTTTGTGTGTGCGACAGTTTCCCTCTGTCAGCTGTAGAATACAGCCAGTTCCCCTTATACCTGTCCCCACTAAACTCACTGGAGAGGTTACAGGAGATAATCGACTTCTCCACCAGCTCCCGGAAGACGATAAGGACTTTGGCCGGAACCAGATCTCCTTCAATGTTGACATCCGTTTCATGCCACTGCTGAAGGCTTTTTGAGAACTGCTCCACCTCCAGCCATTGATGCAATTCCTCAGGGTCCCGCACGGAGGAGAGGAGCTTGGCTCCATGCATGGTGTAATAACGCCAGTGCCGTACCTGGCATTCCCTGTAGCCGGTCAGGCCACGCAGAGGGACTGTGATGAGGAATTGGCTGGGTGCTAAGACCTAGGAGAGTGCAGAGAGATTGAGAGAGGACACAAGGGCAGATCCATGAGCCTGAAGTAAGGAAAAGAGGGTTAAGGAAGTAATAGGTAAAACTGTGGGCTTCGGAGAGAAGGAAAAGCCATGGTACAATGGGATCAATTGAATACAGCCGGGACCTGTTCCATGCCTGTCTGAGGGTTACTTTGGAGGTACACAGACTAAGAGAAAATTGTGTTAGAACGAGTCTGATGTGACAGCCATGGCCCATAGGAGACAAAAGTGCACTGACCAATTTGCCACCACACCTGCCATGTTCCTTGTTATTGCTAGTCTGCAATTGCATGAGCTGTAATAACTAGCAGTTTCCAAGGAGCAGGAAAGCATCAGAAAGCACATTTTGAGATCCAGCAAAGGGAAACAAAATAATGCAAGTTATTACGTCAGGACAGTTACTAGAGGTAAGCCTAGAGCTCAATAGTAGTAATCACCATGGCAAAAAGTACACTTTTCCGATCTCTTTCAAAGTCCACTACAGACATTAGTAAAATAAGGCTATGGCCCATTCATTTTACAAGTGTTTCACTCTGCATGACTGTCCTTTAAGAGAGACGTGATGCGAGTGTCATGCCTAAGCCTACACAGGCACTGGCGCTCTCAGAAATTAAGGCCAGGTCTTGGCCAGCCATACTGTATGAAACTGCGTCTCCTGCTGAGCAGGAGCCAGAAACAGCGTAAGGATGGAAACAGTAGCCAATGGATAACAAAGCCACAAGCAGGCTTGTTTACAAGACAATAATTGGCCTCACTTTGGGAATGACCATTTTCCAATAAAATCAGTGCAGAACCAGTATTTGCAAAGGGTGAAAAAAGTGACACAAATACCATGAAACCTCCTACTGGCCCAGGACATAGCCAGATATCTCCAAACACTAGTTTGGAAGCATTTGGTGATTGTGGCTCCAAGTATTCAGAGAGGGCATTCAAACTCCTTCAGATTTTTGCCGTGTTGACTCAGAAGCTTTTCAACTCCGCTTGCCACCAAGCCTAACTGACATTGGCATTAATAAGGTGAAGCTGCTGCACCAGCAGGATGTGAAATGACAGCTGTTGCAAGATGGTTACCTCGAGGTGAATGAAACACCCTTGTCACTCTCCTGTAATAATCCAAAACATTCCGGTGGCCTTCCTGGTAGCTCAGGTGATTTAAAATATTATTGCAGAGGTGCCAGGGTCCTGAGGGCACTAACAGGCTTTGAGGGCTTCTACCCACACCTTCTGCCCATGGGCCAGGGACCCTCATTTCAGCTCACCGCTGGGCAATGTCATAGTGCTGGTCTCCAGCCGTGTGACAGCTATGCCTGCACCTGGCCATAGACCTTGCTGTCCTACCTCAGACCTACTTGGCCACTGTGGACTTGCTAGCAATCAATAAACTGCATCTGACCCTGGTTACTGTTATTGGGCCTGATCCTGACACTGATGAGTGTTCCTGGCTTGACCTCAGACCTGCCTTATCAGCACAAGCTTGCCTGACAATCCAGACTCTGGGCTGCCCTCAGCTGCCCTCCCTAGGTCTGCCTCACTTGGGGACCACGGGGCAGGTGCTGCCATGTTGTCATGCTCATCTCCCGGCTCCCTCTCCCACAGGGAGCAGCCGGTCTTCTCTACTCCCTGGCAAGAGATTTGAAATAGAAAAGATGGCCATCAAGAAGCACAGAAATGGCAAAGGAAACACCAGAAAGCCCTTCTTTTGTCAAATATAAACCACCTAAAGGCAGGAGAATATTGGAAGGATGACATTGCAGACCAAGCTGACCTGCACAAGTCAGGTTTGGTGGGGTTGGGAGATCCTGTGAGCAGCTCAGGAACAAAGTGCTAGGCCCCTAAGGAAAAAATACAATGGCTGTCATGCAGTTACTGCTCATCTCACTGCCTCAAACACATTTGCAGATAAACAACCATTCTTTCCCATACCAAGACGCTGACTTGTAGGCACTGGCACCTCACAGATTATAAAGAGAAGAGCTGCAGGTGTTATGTGAGTACCTTCAAATACAAGTCACAAGGCCCCTCCGCCTGGAAACACCGGAAATCACAAGGCTGGAGATAGCACCGTAAAGCTGGGCAGATGGCATCCTCTTGGCCTAAACAAATCACAGTCCCACACCTATGCTCTGTCACACAATGATCTTGCACGTCACATGCAGACCACGGGCCCCAGCAAGTCACAGGCTTGAACAAGACCCTCACATTCTGGGGTGTGTAACTTATGGACAATCCTGCTGTATTGAAAACCTGCCTGCAGTATGCTGGGCAAATTAAATACAGGCTCATTCTTGCGATTCTGACCAGGATATCCCAAGGAGGCAGAAGAGTTAGGTTAGAAATCAAATATTTATGCTTTCAGCAAAAAAAACCCAAAAAACCAAAAAACAAGTCTCTTGCAGAGAGGATGAAATAGTCATGGGAGGATCGGCTAGGTGGGTGAAGTTGTCTGGAGAAGAGGGTGGGAGGGGAGGAAGCAGGCATGCGGACCGGCAGGCACCAGGTGGCAGGAAGGCTTTGTACCTGGATGGATGGGTGGAATGGGCGCTTCCCCCGAAGCATAGCTGACCACTTGGCCAGTAAAGCTGGCTGATCCTGAGAGAAGCAGAAAGGAAAACAAGAAGTACACAGAACAGAGAGAAAGCATGTGCCAGGTCACTCAGAGAGCAAAGCTGCAAGCTTCCTTCGAGCCTATTTGTTAAAGGAACCCCCCCCCTCCGCACCATGATTACAGAGTTAAACGCTTGGCAATGCCGTTTGGCAGTGCTGTACTAGTAATTACTCTGGACGCTAACCTGCTCATTACGCCTTACTGAAGCCTCCACAGCCTTTGCATCAGCCCTGCACAGGTGACAGCTGCAAAAATGGTGGGCCACAACTAAAACCAACACTTAAAAGTTTTAAAAATAAAATACTCCATTTTGTCCATCTGAGATTTATTTCAAATTTTTTATTAAAGATTTTGACTTTTTGTCCCCTGGGTTACAGAAAAACACTGAATATCTAAAGACTTTTCTTCTGTATTCCCCACCCAGCCTTGTATGTTTGGAAGGAGGCTTATAGCTTCTCAACAAATCTAGACTCCTTACCATGTTAAATTAAGTCCTCTTAATCAGACATTGAAAGTTCTGAAAAGCTGCTGTAAATTTGACAGGAAAAAAAATGTTGCAAAATTAAACAGAACAGTTAATACATTTGCTTTCCCTTGATATGTCTCCTCTATGTTGAGTTATGCCAGCAGTGATTCTATTTTTCGGAAGCAGAACAGCCCAAGTCAAAATTATTTCTTATTAACCCATTCTTTGCTGCCCCGTACTACAGGACAGTTACTCAGGCCCTCCTAGTGTGACTATCACAGATTTACAGCACTGGGTTAAGTTAACTATGAATTACAAATCTGCTATTTTTTAAGAAAACCAATTTTGGTGATTCCTTTTAAGCAGAGGTTGTTCAGATCAGCCTACTGTAATACCACATGACTGTTCAGTATAGATTGCCTTTGTTGTGTTCTGCTTTGTTCTCCAGAACAGAAATTTTTCCCTGACCCTGGTCTTGTCAAATTTCATTAGTCAAACAGGTTTGTTCCAGCACGAGATGTGGATGGCAGACTATGGCACTAAGGAACAGTGGACCAGGATGTGGCACCGTTATACGTCACTGTGGTCATTCCTACTGGCAAGGCCACATACTGTGGGATACACAAAATTCCAGAAAAGATCTAAATCTGAATGTGTTTGTCCCTAGAGCAATAGCCACATTTCAGACTGGATGATTATATTCCGCCTCCACCTCCATACCCTTCCAGCTGCTTGATACACACAGAGTTAATCCTTTCAATCCTGGACTGCTGCAAAAGTTGCCTCATGCTTTTACATGTTTGATGTGTTTTAATCCATAACTGGCTGCATTTTAGTATAAGGGTTGACGTAGCTAGAGTATGTAAACTAGTTCAGATGAAAAAGATCATTTTTTTCTGAAGTTGCCATTGCTATGATTGTTTCTTATATCCTTACACTTGTTAGGATCTTATGTTAGGCAGTCACAGGAAATAACCAGTCTTCTTCTGTCACAGCTGGGACAGGACATTATTATTTTGGTATTTGGTGGTCTAAAATGGGGAGACATTTAACTCCTCCCACTAATAAGCATATTTCTTCCCAGTAAAAAAGAAGTTCCAATCCATGACCAAGAAAAAACATATTTTTCTGAAGGAGCTTTATACTGTTCATAACAGAAGAAGGATTTTTGATTTTTTTTTCTTTTTTTTTTTTTTAGCAAGTTGACATGTTTTCCACCTGTGAAAAATATGAGTCATAGCTCATGAAGGCATGAGCATTTTTTTCTTCCTATGTTAATGCCGTACAAATTTTTCTTTCTGTCTCCCAAAGAGCTTTGACTTCTGCTTGCAGATTGACAGCTCTGGCAATAGATGCTCTTTGTAAAAGCAGTAAGTAGTAAAAAGAGGCTCTGCCTGATTTACCCAGCCCTCTCTGATGCTCCTCTAGTTGTAAGATGACCACGAATAAGTCCCTATGACCCAGTCTGTCACTAGAACTTCCACAGTGAGGTGTCAACGCATTGTCTGTGACGTTTTGGGCGAGGTACCTGTCCATACAAACACTTACACAATGGAGGAATCACTTACTGATTGTCTACAAGCTGCCAGAGAGGATATTAGAGCTCTTAATCATACCTTAATATTCTCATTGTGAATGCCAGAGTTAGAGATAGCCTGGAATCGCATGGCCTTATAGCTGACTTCTGCGGTCAGTTGCTGGATGATTTTCTGCACCTCCTCCACGGCTTTGGAAACCAGGTAATGTCGCTGTTCCACCTGTCAGTTCCAAGAAAGACACTTCATATTACAGGTAACTGTGGTCTTTGTCTCCAGCAGGAAACAGACAATCAACTTAAAGCATCCTGAAACATTTGCCCTTGTGCTGCACTGGGAATAAAACTTACTGTTCCCTGAGAGTTACAACCAACATACCATGAGAGAGCACTGGTAAACACTGAAGGCCAACACTCAGGACTGCTGAGCATTAATTGATGCCAATACCATTGGATGGAAGGGAAAGCGGTCACTTCATGG